AAATTTAAATTACCGATTTTAAAAACTACTTGAAAAATACAAAATACACAAAAAACCTACTCAATACAGTAACTTGAGTACAAAAACTTTCCACCTCTGGTTTTTACCACTACAAACTAATCTTAATGTGACTTCAGTTAAACATATTTATGTATTCAACATCAAAGCAAATACAATCTTAAGAAGATTAGATTTCAGGGAGACTTAATTTTTTTTGTAAAAATTAGTAATATTCCTTGTGTTTTATAATTACTCTATGCCTTTCCGTATGGATCTGTCACATAAAATACCAACAAAGTAAGGTTTGTGATTTCAACGTGTTCACCAGTAAATTTTAAAAGGATTTATGCATTTTTAGTAAGGTACTGTATTTTCAATTCACTTGATGATTTTGAGGTTTATAAAGCCAATAAATCTGGTTTTAATGTTCTCCAAATCAGCTCCTTTTAATGTTAAAATCCAAAGTTGGAAAATCAGCAGTTAATGTTTATTGAATGAAATACCATCTGGTTAGACCTTTGTGGTTTACCTATTAATCCAAATAATGCCTGCAACATATAAGTGATGTACAGGTTGTTTTTGAACATGAAAATGTCTCTTCCCTGCAATTTGTTTGAGAAATGGGCTCCCACCGGTTAGATCATTTGAATTTCCCTTCAGCTTGAGCCATGAACTCGAAGACCCAGTTGTCACATTGTGCTCTCAACACACAGGCTCCTTTCACAGTCCGGCGTCCCAGAGGAGAGGTGCGTGCATGTTTGTGTTTCTGCGAATCATAACTGCTGCTTTGCATTCAGCGAGGTGTGTCGAAGCAGATTACAGGCATGAACTCTGGCAAGAACGGAGAGAGCTGTCTTTCTTGTTTTTTCTTTTTCCAAGACTGTCCTTTGGGGTGAGGTAGTAGGTTGTATAGTTTTAGGGTCACACCCTTCCTGTCAGATAACTATACAACTTACTGTCTTTCCTGAAGTGGCTGTAATGTCGTCAGACGCTGCCCCTGGAGTTCTCTGAAATCGGCATAACCCTGGAAATGGCAAGTGTGAGGACACAAGATGTAGCAGGAATGCAGAATTTGACCATAGTTGCTAAGGTTTGTTGTAGAATTTGGTGTTATTTTATTTGATCTATTAGCCTTGATTGTAGCCAATCATTAAAATTTCATCTGTGTCTTATTTTGCTTATTTTGCTGCTTTTGTAACATGTAAATCATGAAAGCAATACAGTCACAGGAATATTACACAGTGACGTCTCTCTGAGCAACAAGGATATCATTTCCTTTTGCTGTTAGAGATTAATTTTGCCAATAAGTAGGTCCTTTCTGATGTTCGTACGGGGTGAGGTAGTAGGTTGTGTGGTTTCGGGGTAGTGATTTTGCCCAATCAGTAGATAACTATACAACCTACTGCCTTCCCTGAAGGGCAGCAATCCTACAACATACAGAAACCTACAAACTTAGACCCGGCTAGAGTCACTGAGGCGCCTTCTGCTTTGACAACAGCCTTTGATTGTCAGTCAAAAGTAGCAGCAGTTAAAAACTTTTTTCTTTTGTATTTCTTATCAAATTCGCTCTTGTTCTTTTTGTGATAAACCAAAATAAAGGAAAACAAATTATCGATCCTCCAATGGTCTGTGCTTATTAAGTAACATTTATCATAGTGATGATTTCTGCTCGAAAACAAATGTTGACAAGTGGGTACTTTTATCCTTTTATTCACAAAATGGTGTGAACAATATGCATAAAGAGCCAGGAGTTTTGAGCTATAGGTATTCACTGTGGTGTTAAGACTGCTGATTGGATTTCTTTATTCTAAAATCTAAGGCTGATTATCAAGTGAATTTGAGTTTTTTTTTAACTTTTTAATGTTTTCTTGTTTAATTTGGTTGTTATGCATGAAAAATTTAGAATATATTTGGTGCACCACCAATGATCATCCTGTAAGAAACAAGCACTCAGCCGTATAAAATATTTCACTGGGCTTACTAGACTAAATGTTTTATATAGAATAAGATTATGTTTTTTTTTTTAAACAATATTTTTTGTTGGTAGTGACGTCTATTTACAGTGACCTGATGGGATAGAGGGGAGAGAGAAAAGAGGAAAGCTATGCACAACCAAGAAAAAACAACAAGGAACAAAGGAGACAAAATATGTTTGTTTAAATGACTAAATAAAATACTTATGAAACATAACTTACTCTTTTGATTTTTATGTGTGGCATTTCATAGTGAAAAAGAAATATAAAAAGCAAAAAAAAAATAGTGTAGCTGTTTAAGGGACCTTTGTCTTACATCAGTACAAGAAATCTATCATATTACATTGGAAACTATAAATGTCACGAGAAAAGACATTCTAGTGTTTAACATAAAGGGAATTTCATTAAGTAGAGCATAGATTTCATAATGTCTTTATTTTATTAGATCTTTGGATATGACTGTAAACTTATTACATATTCTGCTCTCAGTTAATGTTTCCCAAAGGAAAATAATTGTTGGTGCACCACCTCCAACTGTGATGGTGATTATCACTATCTCTGTAAGTTGTGTTTGCTTAAAATGCTACATTATCTAGGCCAAAGTTTTTTTAAGACCGTTCTGGTCTTGTCCTCTTACAGACGAGCCGTTAGCTTCAGCCTCCAGTTATATGTAGCAGCTAATGTTTGTTTAGAATTCTTCAACAGTGTCTCACTTTAAAACATCCTGAGCTATTCTTTGAAATGGTTGAGAAAATGTCCAGGTGAACAAATTTCCGACCCCACCTCATCCAAGTTAAAAGATGAAACAGCAGCCAAGTTGTGTCCTAAAACATTCTAGCAAAGCAGATGGAAACAGTAGCCTCGGCCCAGTCTCACCTCACGGGCTCCTGTGTGATCCATTCAACAGCAGATGAGGCGTTGGCTCTCCCTTTGGCCAGTGGCAAACACTCTCTCACACACGTAGATAGTGAGGTGGCTGCCAAACGGAGGTGGGTCAAGTTTGGCATTACACCTGCCTCACCGTCTGAGAGTGCAGTCCTGTATCTCATATCAAGTTCAAGCCCTCGTTTACCCCAGACTTTCACTTAACAGTTAAATAACCAGTAATAACATTTGGGTGTGAAGAAGAAGGACATTTGGGTACTTCTTTGTGAGCTAATTTCAATAACCAAAGGAAGTTACACAGTCCGATTAAGTAACTGACACGATGAGACATCACATAACTCAAAATAAACCATGAAGTTTGATTCTAGGCTGTGTCTGGGTGTGTTTGTATGTGTGCAGCACCCACTGTATGGCTGTCCCCCACCAGCCACCATATTGAATTGATTTAAGCCTGAGCTCTGTTGATAAAGTAAAGGGAGTTGAATGCTGAAGCCTTGTGAAACAAAGACTCTGTGTGGATCCTGCCTCTGAGGCCGCATCTCTAAAGGCCATCC